CTCCTAGTCTTCGGTAAGATTTACCCACCGTCTTCCTATCGAATTTACGATTTAGAAACTGATCATACCTGCATATCCTGTTAAAAAAGTTCCATCATAGACACAGAGTTGTTCGCTATCCAATTCAGTCGAAAGTCCAGGTAGTTCATTAATCGGATCACGTTCGGGTCACCACTTTGTCATTCAATCCTACTGATGTTTAGATCTAACATTAAGCAGGCAAACACGAACAGTAACAAAAAAGAACTTTATTAGAAAAGGTTAGAACTGTCACAGACATCCTCGGGCAACACCCGGACAAAATCCAACGAACTTTCGCGCCTTTTCTTTTTTTGACGTTGCCAGCCACTCTTGTTGGCAAGTGTTGCCAGACAGAGTTCGTGATCTTTGCAAGTGTTGCCAGACAGTGTTCAGGATCTCTGGCGCTGGCGGCCACAGGATAATCGACACTCTACTGTATTCTCTTTTATTGCATATAAAGTAAATAATATTACAAAAAAAATCAAAGTATATAAGTGCATTTTAATGTATATTTACAAAAAAAAAAAAAAATCATCACTTGTAGTCGAAACAAAGTGTGAAATATTTTTAACACAAAGATGTAAAAATTTTTAAGTAGGGGAAAACGTCTAATTACAGTGGGTTGTGAAATTTATTGCATGGGGGAAATGGTCTGCCATTCAAGGCCATACGACTGCAGGGTGGTCGTGTAAATATCTTTCTCGTCTCTCCTCTGCTGACTGTTATATATTGACCCTTTTATTTACATTAAAATAAAACATTAGGTATCAAATTTTCTCACTTTGGCCTTCCCTTTGGTAAGGTGTCATATTACAACCGGCAGTTAATGTGATTATTCATGAGACCATCTAACACTTCTCCCAAAGGAGGGAGAAATAATCAATCTATATTTCTTGTAAGTGTTAGCACTGGTAGGTTTGGGGATAAAAGTGACACTAGCCCTTATCCACTGAGTAGGAAAAAGGCCAGTGTTTAGACAGATATTGAAGAGAATAACAAAAGCTGTCAGAATGGCCTCAAATACATGCTTTATCATCCTACTGGTTATGCCATCAAGGCCTGGGACTTTGTTGTCATTGAGTGAGTGGATAGCATTCTGAATTTCAATTCTACATGGAGGTGGTGAACATCCTCGATGGCAGTCTCAATGTCTGATGTGTAAGTAATGTAGACGAACAAATGTAAAAGTAAAGTGTTGTTGTCAGTAATGCAAACTGTGATTATGTATTCAGTTGTGTGTTGAGTAATAAGGCAGGCAATAATATTCTTGTTTCTTATGATGATACCAGCCTTTGTGCAATAGCCGTGGTCCTGGACTGGGAAGATTTTCCAGTCATTGAACCTAACTAACTTATTGTTAATGGTGTAGGGCTCTTTTGAGAATGATGTCAGCATCATATGTAGTGGATGTGTGGATGAGGAGGAAGCAGACAGCTTTGCATTTCTGTACATTAATCTCGATGATCTTACAGTTACCTATATTAGTGTTGTGTGTGGGTGTACTATTCATAAGTGGTCCTAATGGCAGCTTATATTTTCATGCTTTTGGTAATGGGGCACTGTTGAAAGAAAGCATTATATGCAGTCTTGTGTTTGCTCTCATCAGGTAAAGTGTTGTTGGCCTTCACACAGTTGATGCAGCATGATTCGTCACTATGTACATGGCAAACCTTACAGCTGTGGTTACCCATACAATGGCTACAGTATTTGGTTTTCTGTGCATTTACTAGTTAGAGGAATGTAGTCATCACAATAGTATAAATGGCAGAATTTTTATAAACGTATTATTTAACAAATTATATTTATTCCCTTTTATTTTTTAGTACAGTAATGATCAGCATTCTTATCACAGTAAAATTAGACTTGATACAAAAATATGTGCTTGTGCTGTAATAATTATAAATTTAACAGCATCTATTTAAACTGTGTAAGTGGATTATGTACAATAATAAACATCAGTGCTTCAGCCTATGAATTAAGGTGTTATAAAACTCTTGAAACATCATTACTGCTAACAGCTTTTTTTTTATAGATTACTACAGTGCATGGAATGTAATTTGGATGTGAAAATTTACAAACTTAGATACAATGCATTTCCTGAGTGCAGCATGGAGTCTGTTCCAAGTGTTGCAGTAGCAGATTGTTTCAGGAAGATAGGTTTTGTGAAGAAAATTGTAAATGATCATCATCAACCATCTGTAGATTGTGATTTACAGAAGTACAATGTTGATGAAAATGATTGGCAGCAAGTGCAGGATGTACTAGGGTTCAGTGACAACTCTAATGATTATATTAGTGTTGATGATGACGTATGCTATGAGATGTACACAATGCAGGTAATATAAGTGAAGAGGATGAAGAGCTTGAAATATAGGGATACCAAAGTACTATTAAAAAAGTGATTTGTCCAGAAGTCAAGGACTGCCTATAATGTAAATGAAAACTTAATAAAAATAAATAAATAAACCCAAAAGAAACACCTAATATAAAAATGTAGCTTAGTAGCATTGCATTTTACCAAAATTGCCCTACTTACGTTAATCATCATATGCCACAATGGCTAACAGTAAAGATGCAAATGCATTACCAATAAGTAATATCACAGTGTCACAAATATGTTAATTTTTAAAATTTTATAACAAGAAGAAAAATTTTTTATAGTAGTTTTGTTTTTTAGTATCTGAAGTTTAAATTTGACATTTTGTTAACTACATGTATTTATTTTGTAAAATTCTCAAATAATTAAAAAGTTTGACTCATAATTTCTATTTGAAATATACATTAATAAAATTTTATTTTTTAGATCGTAATAACCGGATGATAACAATGCAAAGACGACTGGATGAATTATTACAACAAAATAGCCAACTACAAGAACAAGAACAGAGTTTGAGAGAAAAATATGAAAAGGTTTATTATTAAATAGTTTTCACGCATCATTTTACCAGGTCAAACTTAAATAAAAACATTTTTTGCAGTTAGTCAGTGAACTTGAAGAATTAAAAAAACAAAATACTCAAATGCAGGAAAGAGGAATGGAATATTGGAAAATATTTTGTGATCTTGGAAATAAAGTAAATTAGAATTTTTTTTTTTAATTAAAATTAAATACTGTAGTTGCCTAACAATTTGTGCTTTAACAGAAATATGCTTTACCTGAAGTTTTAAAGCCAAAGCGATGTCCTAAATCACCCAGTCGAAGCAGTAAAAGAAGTGAATCTACCTCATCACTGATATTTGAGTAAGTTTATAGAAATTGTTATGTTTGCTAAAATATAATCTTCAGTTTTAAAAATAAATGGAGAAAAACTTATCCTAGAATTGTAATTCACATCTGAAAAAATTTCCAAGAAATAGTAAATTAAATTTTGTTTGTATTGACTGATTACTGGAAACATAACAATCTACTATATTGTTATATCTAAACTACCATGAATATTAATTAATGTGGACTCGCATTCTGATTAACTCAGTCATAAATTAGATAATAGAAATTTAATTGCATAAATAATTACATATTTTTTCCTCTCTTGATGTCAGGTTCAACTCTATAAATATTAAATTATTATAAACAACTATTTCAAGAGTCTAAATTTTAATCAAATTATATTTGATTAAAATTTAGGATTAAACTAGAATTAAAGGCCTTCTCAGAATTCTTAACTTCTGAGCATATGTTTGAAAGTTGACCATATTGAGAAGGCTCTGAAGATGAGATGATAAACATCCCAAATAACATTTAATCCTGGTTATATTTTATTGATTAAATTTTGAAATGCTGAATTTTCTTAATATTGTTTAGAGTAATATAATATTCTTTAATTTTTTACTAATAGAAAATATTTTCATGATCAGTGAACTTTATATTTCAAACATTCCCTTTATCATTATTTACAGTTACAATTTTTACAAAAATTCTTATTGTATTTTAATAGACCAGAAACTTTGCTCTTATTGTACATTTTTAACATATTTTTTTTGTTGTTCTAGTTTATGAAGATAATGTAAATATATTGGGTGACTAAAATATCTATTAAATTTTCTCATTAATGAATTTTAAAAGTATTTTCTTCTATTATTTATACACATTTCTTGTTAAAATATATACTTTACAAATGATTTTTTTATCAATAATAATTGTGAGGTCACTGAATAGGGGGATAAACAAGTGTCAGGATTTATCGGATGTGGGGTGGATGGAAGTGAAACTGACACCTACAAATAAAACTGTTTATTAATTCTAAGTCTTACATATAATGGAATGACTTGTTGACAATTGGTGCTGGTCTCCTGGAGAGTTGAAAGAAGTTTCGGACTGTTGGTCAAGGAGTTGTCTTGTCCAAAAACCAATGACAGACATGACGATTAAAAAGGTCTGATGCCGAATGGTAAGGATAGGAATGAAAGTCCATACAAGTAGAACACTGTAGATGAGTCAAGAAGGCAATGTAACCAAGGCAACGATCAGTGGAACCAGCAGTTACAGCTCACACAGTGAAACAGAGATAGAGAACTTGATTTTGAGATTGAAGTTTTTAAAGAATTCTCTTTTGATTTCTTGCTTTCCAATTAGTCAGTTTCTTATATCCAGATAGATAACAGACCATTTTGGGACACAAAGGGTCAAATTCAACACCATGTTTTGTTCAATCAAGAGAAGTTAATCAAACTTTGGAACTGCTGCTCATATTTAATTATTATTTATGACCAAATTCTTGTAAATCTGAAACCTAATCTCCACACTAGAGCTCCTTTTTAAAAGTTTTAATTGTCTCTCAACTAAAAATTTTTTTATTTTTTTCCCATTTTTCTTTCAGTTTTTATGAGCACTAGAATCAAAGTTTGATTCCCTGATTTGACACTTTTATTAAATTTTTAACACATAAGCTAGAGTGTTGCTCAGACCTAACATAATAAAATTATGATAATATAAACAAACTTAGCATTTTATTTATAATGAATAACAACTTAGATTTTCAAAATCAACAATGAACAGAGAAAAGGTTAAACAATAAAACCATAGATTAAACAGAAAACAGATTATAATTAACATTTTCAAAAAATTTTGATGTTACTGAAACCAAAACTGGCAGAAAGCACTTCATAATAGCTCAAATTTGGTTTCAAGGTTAAAAATGTAGAAAAATACAAATTTTCTATGTAAAAAAATCAATTTAGGGTTATCAAATTACTATATGAGTGGCCTTGTCTAGAAGTCCAGAACTGACTCTAATGTAAAAATTGATTAATATGTTTTGATTATTTTTAACATTTTACAAATATTAATGAAAATGTGTGTTTTTATAATATTTTAACAATGTTAAAATGAAGCTTGAACAAAGGTTTTTTTTTTCAATTTGTCTAATTGCTGAAAGTGTAATACAAACAAAAATTCATTTTAGCTTAATTACAACTGTCTTTATTGAAAAGATACATGCATGTTAATATATGTGGTAAGCTTGGGGATTAGATCTATATGAGAATGTATGAGTACAGCACCCACAGCAATTTTTAGATTATCTTAAAACATACTTCCCTTTGCAGAGAAGTGTTGTTCAAGTAGGTCTTATGGTTGCTGAGCATATCTGGTTATTCTGAGCAAGGTTTGTAGTGATCAACAATTTATGGAAAATGCATTTACTGAGCAGTTCTTTAACATTAATTTTTGCATGTTTAGGCAAAGATCCAATAAACTTGCATCATGTTGAAGCAGGCTTATAACAGTAACATCCTGTTACAGTCAAGACTTCAAATGGCACTAATGATTTGGGGAAGGCAGGGAGGAGGCTGAAAATGACACACACAATAGGTGACCAGGACAACTTGAAAGGTTGATAACTTTTCAAATATTTTTTCAATCTTTCATGCCAACAGACATCAGACAATTGAGCAAATAGCTGAAGCTGATGGGCTATTGGAGACCACATATGGATATTGTAAGAGGGTCTGAATATTCACAAGATGTGTTAACAGTAGATCAGTGAAGCATACAGATGGAAATGACAGATGATTTCATGGGATGAAAAGTAGTGCTCCTGTTTGATTTATAGATCAAGCAGGCATCACCTACAGGTTGGCTGAAAATTTTGACCCTCAAGTTTAATTTTAAGACCCAGATTCATAAATAAATGAAATAATGACATGCATTGCAATCTGGTAACTTTTCTCAGCATTATTTTTATGCAAATGGTGTAACCATGCATTCAACTATGGACTTCATCAAGCCAATCAAAAAACTTTTTTCCTAGGTGCATCATGTAGATCAGTGTTTTTCAACCTTTTTGAATATGTTACAAGTTACAAGTATACCCTTTACAAGTTAAAAAATTCTGGTGACCCCCTAGGGCCATATTAAAACTATATCAGTGATTTTAAAAACTACATATTTAATTTTCTTTCCTTAAATATTGATCTAAAAACCAATTGTACTGTAAAATAAACTGGCACAGCCTTCTCACCGAAACTCTAGTTTTTTTATTGTAGTGTAGGACCTACAAACACTTGTCTTTTTCTTTCACCCACGACCCCCCCATGTAAGGCTTTGCTACCCTGAGGGTCACAACCCACAGGTTGAAAAACACTGATGTAGATTAATTGACCTGGAAATTAATTGGACCTGAATACTGTCGAGAATGTAACTGCAACTATGCAACTAGAGGAATCAGTATTTAAGTTACCCAGATCATGAAATAGGAAGTAATTCATTATGTTCAACAAGAATAGAATTAAATTTTTTTTGTAAAAGAACTGTTGTCCTTGCACATCTAACATACTCATCTGAACCTGTTTCCTGTGACTTCTGTTTCTGCAGAAGTGAAGAATGCAATTGAGGTTGAACTGATGGGCATTGCAAGGAATAGGTTCCAGCAGTGGCGTAGCATAGTGGAGATGGCAGGGGCAGCCCATCCCAGGCAGCACTTTTAGGGGGTGGCAAAATTTCACAATAAATAATAATAATAATATCTTGTAAAAATTTGAACCATTTCATTTCATATTTTTGTCACACTTACAATTCAGACCGATTTGAAATGAGCATGGAATTTTTCATTACTTATTCTGTGAACTGGGGAATCCCCTTTCTTTAAATGAATGTATAATAATGACATCTTACTCATTGTAGCGACTGACAACACCGTCTGTACTGACTTGTAGTGATTCCTCTTATTTTATTTTGTGCTTGGATTGTTTGACTAATATTCAGCGAGAATGACTTCTATCATATAAAGAATAGTGTTCAATATTGTATAATAACACCTGCAAATTAGATTACAGTATGGATAAGTCCCTTCAGGGAAGTCCATGAGTGATGCTATGATAAAAATATAAATAGTAACAGTATTGTTCTAGTTCTAATTGGAAGTCGATTTGTGTTTTATATTCAATTCATTAATAACTTAATCTTGTCGATCGTCAAAGTATAATCATAAGTGTTCTATACCTGTTATATCAATAAGTGGCATATGTGTAAAAATTTTTGTAATAAATGTGATTATTATATTGTTAAACATATACAGTAGAGCCTCGATTATCTGATCTAATTGGGGACTGAGGTTGGTCGAATAATTGAAAGGGCGGATAACCGAAAAGTATGAAAAAATCCATTATTAGTGTAGTATATTATTATATCCCATGTAATTAGTATATTAGTATATCGCTATTAACCTACTTCGCGTTAAATTTTTATCGATGTTAAGTTTAACAAAAAATTTTTAAAATAATAATCATCGCTATTGTATCGTTAAAAATTAGAAAATTAAGTCTCGTTTAAATACTGGCTCCCTTTCATGGTAGAATGAGTGTTGCCAGCTAAAACACGTAAAAATAATATTAAAGTAGCCAAGACATAGCCAAATATTGTAGCGCCACATCAATAGCGGACATTTGAAATTTGCCGACTAGGACGGTCGGTTAACCAAGAGCTCGGTTGATAGGGGGTCGGATAATCGAGGCTCTACTGTACATCACTTTTTTATTTGTAACCTGTACAATACACAATAATGATGATTGTTCTTGCCGAAAAGTTCTTTAGAATTACTGTATATTTTAGTCTTTTAAATTGAGATACCTAAATAAGGGGGCAGCGAAATTTTCCTTTGCCCCAGGCCTCTGACACCCATGCTACGCCACTGGATCCCAGAAGTTCTTAATGACTCTACAGCTGCTGATATATTTTGTTGCAAGGGTGCTTAACTTAGAGATGTTTCAGAATTGTAATCTAACAGTCTCTGGACTTAGGATCCA